TAATGGATCTTAAAACAATAATCATCAATTAATTTCTTAAAACTTGAATTAGGGTAATCAATCACATAATCAATTTCTGAAATCCCCAATAAAATCAAGCATCAACAAAACTCAAATCAGGAAACAAAATTTCAGATCACACAAATCAAAATTAATACAGCAAGCAAAAAATCTCGGATTTGAAAAAAAAAAACAGCTGGAACTTACTGAGATAGTCTCCGAGATTGAAGGTCTGTTTGGCAGCCCAAGCATTGTAGTCAGCAGAAGTCATATTGGTGGTGGAGTTGAAGAACCAACCGGCGTCGCCGCCCACGGTGTGGTTCGTGTAAGTATCGGACGCCGCCGCAGCCGCGGTGATGAGCATGAGCAGAGCCGCCGCGATTAGGCAGAGTGCGGCGGTGGCTCTCGTCGCCGCCATGGTTGTGAGCTGCAGCTGAATGTTTGAGATTGAAATGACGAAGCTTACTGGAGTGATTTTGTGTGTGTGTGTGTGAAACCTGAAAAAGTCAAGGTGCGTTGCGTGTGTGTGTGGTGTGAACGCTATAAATGGTTTATTTATCTATTTATATATATATTTTACAGATGAATTGTTTTATGCCATTTTCATGAGAGAGTGGTGAAGTTGTGCTGCCTGAATTTAAATCTCGGCAATTAATTGAGATTAACTACTTAAATAAAAACTAGTTGTTTAATTAGTTATAATTAATTAGTTTCATCAACCAAACAGTCTCGTGATTAATAATTAGTCAAAATTACAGGTAGTTAACACTTAACATTCAGTTGCTTTATTATTGCAATTTAAAAATGGGTAAATAGCACTTAGCCCCTATTATTTGAACTTTGTGCACATAACACCCTTATCTATGATATTTCACTTGGTAAATAACGATGCACATTAGAAAGACGATTTTTTTGAAAATACTAGTGAATTAGGTGTTTATATTAATAAACAAGGAGGTCATGTGATTTATTGAAAGTATAAAGGGGTCATTTGCACAAAGTTCAAACTATAGGGTGTTAAGTGTTATTTAACCTTTTAAAATTACGTGTTAATATTATACAACCGGAAAATTTCAGTTTTCACCCCTTAAGTTTGCATTGATTTCACATTTGGTCCCTCATGTTCCAATAATTTAACACTTTATAATTAGTTAATTAAGTCATGGAACAAGCTTGATTCTGTTTGTTTTAACGGAAAATTGACAGAAATTGTTAAAAGATAAGGCAGCAAATATATTTTTTGTGACCATAGGGGACCAAATATGAAATCGGTGCAAACTTGAGGTGCGGAAACTGTATTTTTTCCAATATACAACAGTAATAGAAGAACCGAAAATATTAATAGTGTATGGGCCTAATCCCAAAATTGCGAAAGCCCACGAGGAATTAATAAACTATAAAAAGGCCCAATTAAGCTTACGGGCTTCAGCCCATATAATTCAATTATGATTTATGCATATAAATACTACCAATTTTTGCAAATAGAAGTAAAAATAAATAAATTCAAGAATGATAATAAGAATTAGTAAATGGCAATTTTAAATCGTACGAATAAAAATAAATTAATAAGTGTGTTACTGTATAATTCATAATTAGTTATACGATTTTATTTTGATTTTGATTTTTATTTTATGAAGGCCTAAGTATATGATTAGTGATTAATTATGTTGATTAAGATTGTCACGGTGCCCCATTAGAGGTTTAGGCCTTGGGTAGGGTTTTCAAGTTACACTGCGAACAGCCCTCTCTCTCTCTCTCTCTCACTCTCACACACACACACAAAATCTAGAGTGAGAAACAAAGGTGAAAATGGGAGCGAAGGGGCAAAGAAGAAGGGAGAAGAATTACCAAGCGGCGCATGGAGGAGGCTACAGTAGCAGACTCCCTCCGCCGCCGGTCGCCTCCTCCATCGACGCTCTTCCGTCCAAGCTTCGTAGAATCATGTCTTTGGCAGGTATTTTACCGCTCCTTTATCTCTGTATATATATAGACATAAATTATTGATTAATTGCGTTCGTGGTTTTGCGCGGCGAGTATTTATCTCTATGTGTATGTTCCTTTTGAAATTGCAAATCGATGCGTTGAGAATTGATTATTTCTAGGGTTTGGAAGCTTTACTATCATTTTTTTTTTAACTTTTTTTGTTTTTGGTCATCTGTTATTGTTATTGTTCTTCTACTGTGGGTACTTAAGTTTGAATTTTGTTTTCAGGATC